TTGTTTGGTTGACGGGGAGGGCTCCTAGGTTTTTTCTAGGGTTTTTGTGGTGAGGAAGAAGGCCATGGGGGAAGTCGGGAATGGAGGTTTTTTAAGGGTAGGGTTTTGGTTTTCTTCTTCTGAGGAAGAAGATAGATCCACAGTGATCTTTTCCAAAAATTTTCCAAAAAAAGGTCCCCTTTCGTTCGTTGGCTTTCCCGTGTTTTGTAACACAATGCCCATGAAAATGAGCCCCACGCGTGGTGGGGTTCGAGGCATATGTCCCCCACGCGTGGTGGGGTTCCCCATGTGTCCTGGACACTGTTTATTATGGGCTAGGTCCAAAAATTAGGCCTAAAACCGGGTAGTTTAAACCCGAATATTATTCTTTTGCCCGGACCCGAGAAATAGGAACACGTTGCTTAACTAGTCCTATGTAAGCAAAATAACTACCAAAAATAAGACTAGTATTTAAACAAAACTATATCTTTTTAAATATTTTTCAAGGTTTAAAATAGCTACAAAATATTAATAAAACTATTTTTGTAATTTTCGTTTTTAAATATTAAGATAAAATATGAGGTAATGTTTTTGTATTTTTCAAAGTTAAAAATGACTATAAAACCTTAATAGAACTATATTTTTTTGTAATTTTCGAAATTATATAAAGTACAAAAAATAAAGTGCAATTTTTTGTATTTTTCAAGTTTATGAGAAATACATAAACTAAAATTTATATATATATTTTTTGAAATTTTCTTTTTGCAATGAAATAAAGTAAAATAGTTAAAATAGCTATACTAGACCCAATTTCACATATTCACGCTAAAAATGTGAAAATTCTCGGGGAGGGTCAAAAATCACGTGCTTACACCGGGTATCGCATTGATGTGAACCATATTATAAATAAACCTAGGACACCCTTTCCTTTTACATTCTCAAATATTTGTAAAATGTAACTCCTTTTTTTTCAAAAATCACCTTTTAACAATTGTCTTCAAACTCTTATATGTTTAAACTTAAATCCCCTACTACTTGAGCTTATACTTGTTTGTTTGCTAATTGTACAAAATCCACAAAATTGTCTGGTCGGGAACCACACTAGTTGATCCTGAGGGGTGCCTAACACCTTCCCCTTAGGATAATTTCAAGCCCTTGCCCTATCTCTGGTTATCAAACAAACTTAGAAATGAACCCTATAGCTGTCCTAATGCACCTTAAATCATTAAGTGGTGACTCTTCAAATGCAAACCAGCTCTCAAAAGGAATGAGTTGTCCTACCCTAGAAAATGTCATAAATCCGATTTTCCGATGCAAAGAGGCAAAAAGGGGGCGCGACAACCATGCCTATGTGGAATCACTACAACTGACATGGCTAAACTGTGTGCAAATCACGCTGCCATGGCACATGAATAGGACCACTATCCGTCAAGATGGGGAGTTCTCTTAAACGTAATGAAGAACTGGGATCCATCAGTGTGAACAACTTTAAAGTTCTCGTCTACATGGAGAAAAACAATACCATCATTAATTAATCATATAACCATTTATCAAACACTCAAACATATATACTGGAGTACTAATCTACCTGGAAATTTCCCTCCAAATATACTCTCTCCACTAGTGCCTGCAAAACATTAAAAGTTCGTGTGCCTTACTTGTCTGGGCTAGAGTTTGGAAGTTAAAAAGTCCTTCGCATCAATTGAATGTTCAGGGCCCAGAAGGGGAAAAAGCATACCATTCCCTTTAGAGAAATCACCACACTGTAGAAAACAGAAAGAGTCATGGGATGATGATTATTCCCCAATATATTGACCTACGGGAAAAAAATCTAGAAGTCCTATGTAGATTACAGAAGAAATATAAAGGCAAAAATAGCTATATTTTTTATGCCAACTATAGTCATCAAACCAAGCCCAAAACGTTCATGAACCGGATCAGCTGATATTCACCCCTACACAATTAATTTCTCATTTGAAATAAATGATAGCACAATAGTTTTTTTTTTGAAATTCCAAATTCTTTTTTTTGTTGGTTATGGTCTAATCATGGCTATAGTGATGTTGTGAATTTGATTTAGAAATAAGAGAGAAAGAATAATGAAGAAAAAGAGAAAGGAGAAGAAACAAGAGTAAAGAAAGGAAGGGGGGAGGGTGAACGAAGAAGAGGGGGCGGTTGGGTACAGATTAATACTGGGTATGTTTTAGGTTTTTTTCTTTTTTTCTTTTTACTTTTTTGTATTTGTAACTTTTTTTCTGATTTTGTATTTAAAAATGGGACCCACAAATAACGCATGACAAATAATAAATAGCTTAGAATGGTGTGTTGTACATGTCAGTGCAATTGGTATACACGCTCTGGTGGATGTGTTTATTAGTACCCATTTTGTCAAGTTTGAGTGTTCAAATGGGAAAATTCAATGTTCATGTATCAGCTTTCGAAAGCCCTATAAGTTTAAGTGGCTAGGAAGCCATTACGCCTTAGATTAATTTAGGATTTTAATCAAAGAAAATAAAAAGGAAAACAAAAGAAAAAAAGAGAAAAGGAATTAAGAGGGTTAATTGAAAAAAAGGGATTAAAATTGGAATTTGGACTGATTTTTAGCTTTAAACCTATCCCAAACTTGGCCCAAATCACCCAGGCCCAAAAGCCTACCCGGTCCAGCCCCCCATTAATCAAACGTCATCATTTTTCCCTCCCCTTAATCCCAGCCGTTGGATCATTTTGATCCAATGGCCCGCAACTGATTTCATTTTTCCCTTATAACTGTCAGATGGACTCCCCCTACCCCTAAAACAAACTCACAAACCCTCCTTTGTCTCTCTAAGTCGCTGCCGCCAGCCACCCACCGGAAATCGCCCCACGGTGGCGGCGATACTCCAAACCACCCCAAAGTTTCACCCCACAATACCCAGCCCCTTCATCACTATCCCACTATCAATTTCCCAAAAATCCCCACCCATTTGCCTTAATTTCAAATCTGAGATTCCAAAAGAAACAAAAACCCTAATCTGTTGCCTCTTTCTGATTTCAATGAATATTAAGGCTCGATTCGTGCCAAAATTTATGACAATCGATTGTTCTTAGTAAGAATAATTGATTAGTATCATCTTTGGCCCATTTCAATGCATTCCGGATTCCAGTAGAGTCCTCGCTGAGTTTTCTTCCTGACCAAAATTAGTATATTCTTACTTTTTTCTTTACTTTGTCTGTTCTTTCTTTTGGTTTCAAATTATCAGTTAGGTTTTAGTTTTTGTTTTGGATTGTTCAATCGAGTTTGTATAATACAGGAAATTTAGGATTAACTTGTCAATCATTTTGTTAATTGAACCGGTTTAACATTTTTTGTTTATTCAATAAATTGTTTTGTTGAATAGGACAGTTGGGAATATTAGTTAAGGGAACGTTTGGGGTTAGAAATGTTTAGTTTAAGACTATTGTTTGAATTTGTGTGTTCTTGTGGTAGCTATTTGTAATTAATAAAAGCTAAAGGGCTGATGGGATTTGAAAATAATGTATATTAGGCATTAAAAATAGAGTTTAGGTCATTGAGGTGTTTGTTTGTATTAAACAGAACTAAAAGGGTTTAATTTGAAGTTAGGAATGGACAAACCCTAGGTAAAATATCAGAAGGTTCTAGATTTTGCACAGTTGCCCCCATCCTTAGCAAGAAAATGCTGATATTGGATGAGAAAAAGGACAGATAATTGTACAAAAGATGCTATACTATTATGAAATTTCAAAATTAGGTCAGAATATTTCATTTTTGATGCCATCTTTGGGAATTCTATATAAAGAAAGTATTCACTCATACATACACACAAGGATCAGCCACTTTTTCATCACAAAAAGGTTCTAAAAAAGCACACGAATTAGATTGGAAAAACCTAAAAAAGCACAAAAAGACTCAGCTACTATCTCATTGATGGTTGGTTCTATTTTCCTTTGATTCTTTAGCAAAAACTTAGAAAAAATCTTTCTTGAAATTTTTGATTTGAGTTTGGATCCAGTTGAAGCTGCTAATGCTGTTGTTTGGTTGTCATTTCTCATCCATTCCTTGCTGAAGTCCTTATTTTCATTGTTCTTTGCTGTATCCAGGTTATCTTCATGAGCCTTGAAGTGACAAAAAATAGAATTGTAGCCTTTTTCGTTTGGAATATGACTTCGGATTCTTCTTTTTCTTTCTCTGTTGTTTGTTTTCTGTTGTTCTTCTTTTCTTGGACTAAATTTCTTTTCTCAAATTTTGATTAAATGTTGCTGACATTGGTGTCCTACTCTATAATGTATTCAATGTTTAGGTGTTAATGTTTAAACGAGTGTAATTATTTCATGTATGGCTTGATAGTCTGATGGGCTTAACAGTTGTAGTTCATTGAGACTTTGATAAAATATTGACTGTATAGGGGTGTATTCAGTTGAGTTATCTCGATGTTCAATATTGTATACTAATGATATGTTTATGTTTAGGATAATGCATGAATGAGCTCAATTTTGTTGTATCGATCTATTGATTTAGTGACATGGAGTATGCACTCCTATTGAATCATGCCATGCTTGTCTAGAGTCAGAAACTTCATCATGCTTTCTCATGGTTAAACATGCTTGAATTTAGACTTTAATGAGATTTTGCCTCAAGCATTCCATGTTTCCTATGTAGTTCAGCAATGATGATTGATGTTTGTTTGGCCGAATTGTTGTTTCATTGGTTATTATAGTTTGAGTCATGTGGATTGAAGTGTATAGAGCTGACATTGAAGTGGTCAGATCTGTTCATCTCATGTGCCCAAGCTACGGGATTGTCTGAACTATCTTTATGGAACTAAACACCCATTTCTGATTTCGTTTTAAAATTAGTAAGCATCAGATAAAATGGAACTTAGAGCAAAGACTTCAAAGTTAATTATTGTTGATTGATATAGTGATTGTATATGTAGTAGATTAGTGATGTAAAATGTCCAAAGAGTAGTTGTCACAGTACGATGAATTCATAACTGCACTAAAAATGACCTAGTACTTCAAGTTTTAGGTTCTTATTAAACAATTGAGGCGTGTTTTGTTGTCACTGTACCTTTTCTGGTTCTTTGATAAAGAACAACGAATTAAATCGTGCATGATGTTAGGTTGCACCTTATTTGAAAAAGTGTGTTGCGCAGCAGTTAGACATAAAAACTGAATTTTAATGAATTCTTTTTCTCTTTATTCAAGTGAAAGCTATGTTACTTATTAGACTAGATTAGATTCAATTCTTGTGGCATGGATAGTTCTTTAAATAATTCAGTTTTCAGAATTGTGATAATAAAATGTAGCTTTCTATAACTCTGGTATGGCAAATACACGACATTCACAATATCTTCTCTCTTAAACAAACTAGATCCAAGCAAAATAAGGCCCAACATGTTCTGTAGTTTTGATTTTAGTTCGCTCTAATTAAGTACAAACCTTGTAAAAATAAAATTGAGGTGTGCCATACACAAACGAAACCCATAACTTATGGCCCTCACGTTAAATATTAACTTAGTATAGAAAACCCCTTTTAAACACACGTTAGCTTGTTTTAGGCTCGACTTAGACTATTATTGTTATTATGTATACGTTCGCATAACATAATTACGAATTTGATTTTAAAAAAATAAATCGAGGGATGCATTCGCGCAACTTCAACCAAGTTTCCTTAATAATTAATAAAGCGTGATTAATTGTGGACACGTACGCGTGACATAATTTTTCACGCGCCAAAGGAAATTAATATACGTACGCGTAACTCAATTCTTTCATTACGAACAACTCAATTGATTAAAAGCAGTAAAAAGATAAATGCACATAGGTCCTAAAAATGAGTAATTAAACAATTTAAGCCAAGTATAAATCGCTAAGCGACCGTACTAGAACCACAAAACCTGGGAATGCCTAACACCTTCTTCCGGGATAACAGTATTCCTTACTTAGAATTTCTGGTTCGCAGACTTTTTAAATAAAGTCAAAAATTTCCTCGATTTGGGGTTTAAAAATACACCGGTGACTTGGGACACCAAAAAATAAATTATTCCAAGTGGCGACTTTGAAAAAATAAATAAATAATTCAATTTCGAGTAATGTCACTTTAATTGAAAAAACTCCCTTATACTCCCATTTCGGGTGGTAAAAAGGAGGTGTGACAACTGGAATAATGGACCGACTCTCAAGACCTCTTGGCCTCTCTCTCCTCCCTATCCCAAGCAAGCATGCCCTCTACATTCCTAGCAATACTCACCACCTGCTAGTACGAGATATCCATCTCTAGCTCCCAGGCCATGCTAGTCCTGATGCTGGGAATGAGTTCCTCAATAAACCAGCGAACCCTCTCTCTAATTGTAGAAACCTAGGTCGGTGCATGTCTAGCCAAGTCACTGAAACGGACTGCATACTCTGAAATAGTCGTAGTACCCTGGCGCAACTGCTCCAACTCCACGCGTCATGCGTCTATGAGGCTCTAAGGGACATACTCTCTCAAAAACATGTCTGAGAACTGAGTCCATGTAAGGGAAGCTGCCTCAGCCGGACTATCCAACTCATAAGTATGCCACAACTTATAGGCTGCTCCTCAAAGTTGGAAAGCAGTGAAAAAACCCCATTCGACTCTGCTATGCCCATAGTGCGGAGGATATGGTGGCACTCCTCAAGAAATCCCTGAGCATCGTCTGTCGCTAGGCCACTGAATATAGAAGGGTCATACTTCTTGAACCTCTCGAGCCTACGATGCTCCTCCTCTGAAGCTGCTGCCCTATCCTCGGGCTAAACTAGGGCTATATGTGGCACCGATATAACCTCTAGAATCTGATAAACCTGAACCTGCTGCTCTGGGGTGCAGGCAGTGGGAGTCTGTGCTCCTCCCCGGCCTGAGATGTGGTTGCAGCAAAGAGAATCAACCCTTCACGATCTAGAGTGTTGTACATGCTCATGAACTGTGCAAGGGTCTCCTGAAGAGCTGGAGAAGTAGTAGGCGTATCAGGTGCATGTGCTCCGACTGGAGATGTTGGTAGCCCCCTATAGCATCTTGCTTGGGTGCTCTGGATGCACTATGTGGGTGTCTTCAACCTCTATCCCAACCCGGCCTCTAGCAGCTCTAGCAGGGGGCGCAAGTGTCAGGTCATCTCATGTGGCACGTGTTCTCACCATCTATTAGAGAATATAAGACAGAAGTTTAAAATTTTGAAGTCAATAATCTCGCATGACAAGGAATCAAATGAAGTGGAATTTTTCTAACAATTCCATAGCCTCCCGAAGATAAGTATAGACGTCTTCGTACCGATCCGCAAGACTCTAATAAACCGGCTTGTGAATCACGACTCCTATGAACCTAGAGCTCTGATACCAACTTGTCACGACCCAATTTCTCCCTCCGTGAGCTGTCGTGATGGCACCTAGTCTCTACGACTAGGTAAGCCTAACACTTTGTGGAAATGATATAAAAGTAGGAACATTAACTACTAACAGTAACAATAACTAATAAACAACTGAATGTCACTCGGCATATACAATTATCACTTCTTAAATGTACGAAACAAACTCCCAAAATCTGGAAACCCGTAAGTCACAAGCTACTATGAAGTCTTAACTGTTCTATACATTATTTCTACCGAAGGAAGGAAAAATTAACATAGGGGGATAGAGGGGGACTCCCAGGATCTGCGGGCGTGGATAGATGTACCTTGAAGTCTCCAATAAGTAGCAGTGACTACAACTAGTGATGAGGCTAGTACGACGAACCTGGATCTACACACGAAAAACATGGTAGGAAAGGGCATGAGTACACCACAATGGTACCCAGTAAGTGCCAAGACTAACCTCGGTCGAGTAGTGATGAGATTAGGTCAGGGCCCTACTGGTATAGGTACAATGAAAAAAGACAGTATGAAATATCGCAGTAGAAATAAATACGAAAATCTAATAGGGATAGAATCAATGAAAGACAACAACTTAGAACATAGTAATAATAATAGGGGATCTCTCAGGATGTCGTCCCGTAGTCCCAAACATAATGTGTAGGGGGGATCTTCAGGAATACCGTTTCGTAGTCCCAAAGTAAATATGTAGTGCTGGGGGATCTCTCGGAATACCGTTGCGTAGTCCTAAAGTAACTATGCAGTGCTGAGGGATCTCCCGGGATATCGTTCTGTAGTCCCAAATTAAATATGCATCTCAATCAATAGAAACAATAGTTACGGCAAGAAAATCTACAGTTTAGACTAAGTTCAAGTCAAAGGAAGCAGGTAATTTCACTAAATAGACTGCACAAAGTTCAAATAAGTAGTTAAAACACGTAGGCATGCTTTTCTAATCTAGACAGGATAGTTACATATGCTAGTATAGTTCAAACAAGGAGAAACGTGTTATGATTTAGTGAAAAACGAAGTTTAACAACACATAGCCCGTGTACGTACTCGTCACCTCACGTACATGACGCTCACATATCAAACAGTACCATATCCTAAGGGGAGTTGCCCATACAAGGTTAGGCAAGACACTTACCTCGAACCAAGCTAAATTCAATCCGTCACTGTCACACCTCCTTTTTCCGCACCCGCGAGGGGGCGCAGGGGAGTTTTTCCAATTAAAGGACAATCGGAACGGGGATGGTTTATTAATTTCAGAGTCGCCACTTGGGAGATTTAGGGTGTCCCAAGTCACCAATTTTAATCCCGAATCGAGGAAAATAATGACTCTATATTACAGTCTGCGTACCAGAAATCCGGATAAGGAATTCTGTTAACCCGGGAGAAGGTGTTAGGCATTCCCGAGTTCCGTGGTTCTAGCACGGTCGCTCAACTGT